AAACATTTTTGGGGGTTGGTTTTGCATTTTTTGGCTATCAATTTCTCATTTTCTAGTTTAGCCACTTTAATTGCCTTTTTGCATGTATTATTGGCTACCTTATATCTTATATAGGATGCCTCTGATTTGTCCAATTTAAATGCTTTAAATGCCCTTTTCTTATTTTTAACCTCTTGTTTTACTTCTATACTAAGCCACATTGATTTCAATTTGTTTCTTTTATATTTATTACCCAATAGTACATACTAAAAAATATACCTTTCTAATATTTGTTTGAAGAGTTTCCATTTATCCTCAGTGTTTTTTCCACTAAGGAGTTTATGCCAGTCAATATGCCGTAGAGCTGCCCTAATCTTATTGAAATTGGCTTTTTTAATATTATACATTTTAGTATACCCCACATGCTTTTGCTTTTTTGAGTTTATTTTAAAAATCACCATATTGTGATCACTATTTCCCAAATGCTACCCTATTGAATTTTGTTTAAAATATCAACATTGTTTGTTATAACAAGATCCAGACAAGCATCCTTTCTAGTTGGTGCTTGTACCGGTTGTGACTTGAAGGTGTCATTTAACACATTCAAAAGCCTGATTCCCCTTGCTGAAGTACTAGTATCTCAATCTCAATTTATTTTTTCTTTATTTTAATTTTTCATTATAATTATAACAGATGAAATTTACAGAAAAAAAGAGTGGGTCATTGCAGGGTTATTACACTGGGGAGGTCATACAGAGGGAGAGAAAAGGGGTTAGTTCATATTAGTCATAACACGTGTACACAACCTCCTTCACATTGCCTGGTAGTGTGCATGCATATGGAGCAACCGGGCCATCATCCACCTTGGTTGGTATCATATACGAAGTCGGTGCTACCTGATGCGCGTGCCTCTGGGGGTATCACCGGCTGGTCAGCCTTCATACCCCCAGGGGGTCATTGGCTGTCGTGTATGGCTGTGGTCTATATGCGGTGGTGGTCAAGGTGCCTCGGCTGCCCGGGGAGGGGGCCCGCTCAGTGCCCCTGCTATTGTGACTGGGTGCATAGTTTGACGTCAGTCGTGGTACTGTGAATTGGCTCATTGGTGACCACCCCGTTTATCCGCGAGTCCATGGATGTTAGGGTCATGGGGGGGCTCACGCTCAATTGTGCCAACTCTCTATCCCAATTTATGTCCGGGTAATTAAAATAAAATAATTTAACATTTTACCAAGATTTGCAGCTTTCCCAATTTGCTCTAACAGTTGTTTTTCCTCATTAATATTTACATTAGGTGGTTAATATAACATATCCCAACCAACAATTGATTTCCCTCCATTGATTTGCCCCAAGCAGATATCTACCTGTAAAGCTTATATACTTTCCTTGTCACACTCCACATGCCTAAGATTTTATTTTAACTCATGGTTGACATACATGGGGGGCAGGTATATGTTGAGATTCACTTACCTGAACCTGTCCCTCAAGGGTGTGGTCTTCCTCCAATAGGTCCACCTGACACCTCTAGATGGTGGTAGCTCCACGCAGTGTCTACTTATGCCAGGCGTAGGAAATGTACAGAAAGAAAACCATCATTGATACCCTCCATAAGGAGGGAAAGCCTCAAAAGGTAATTGCGAAGGAAGTTGGATGTTCCCAAAGTGCTGTATCAAAGCACATTAATAGAAAGTTATGTGGAAGGGAAAAGTGTGGAAGAAAAAGGTGCACAAGCAGCAGGGATGACCGCAGCCTGGAGAGGATTGTCAGGAAAAGGCCATTCAAAAGTGTTGGGGACTTTCACAAGGAGTGGACTGAGGCTGGAGCCAGTGCATCAAGAGCTACCACACACAGATGGATCCTGGACATGAGCTTCAGATGTTGTATTCCTCTTGTCAAGCCGCTCCTGAACAACAAACAACGTCAGAAGCGTCCTGGGCTAAAGAAAAACAGACCTGGTCTGTTGCTCAGTGGTCCAAAGTCCTTTTTTCTGATGAGAGCAACTTTTGCATCTCATTTGGAAACCAAGGACCCAGAGTCTGGAGGAAGAATGGAGAGGCACACACTGCAAGATGCTTGGGTCAACACAGCCATCTACCAGGAGATTTTGGAGCACTTCATGCTTCCTTCTGCAGATGAGCTTTATGGGGATGCTGACTTCATTTTCCAGCAGGACTTGGCACTTGCCCAAACTGCCAAAAGCACAAAGCCTGGTTCAATGACCGTGGGATTATTGTGCTTGATTGGCCAGCAAACTCGCCTGACCTGAACCCCATAGAGAGTCTTTGGGGCATTGCCAAGAGAAAGATGAGAGACATGAGACCGAACAATGCAGAAGAGCTGAAGGCCGCTATTGAAGCATCCTGGTCTTCCATAACACCTCAGCAGTGCCACAGGCTGATAGCTTCCCTGCTACGCCGCATTGAGGCAGTAATTGCTGCAAAAGGGACCCAAAGTACTGAGTTCATATGCATGCTTATACAGGGAGTGCAGAATTATTAGGCAAGTTGTATTTTTGAGGACTAATTTTATTATTGAACAACAACCATGTTCTCAATGAACCCAAAAAACTCATTAATATCAAAGCTGAATATTTTTGGAAGTAGTTTTTAGTTTGTTTTTAGTTTTAGCTATGTTAGGGGGATATCTGTGTGTGCAGGTGACTATTACTGTGCATAATTATTAGGCAACTTAACAAAAAACAAATATATACCCATTTCAATTATTTATTATTACCAGTGAAACCAATATAACATCTCAACATTCACAAATATACATTTCTGACATTAAAAAACAAAACAAAAACAAATCAGTGACCAATATAGCCACCTTTCTTTGCAAGGACACTCAAAAGCCTGCCATCCATGGATTCTGTCAGTGTTTTGATCTGTTCACCATCAACATTGCGTGCAGCAGCAACCACAGCCTCCCAGACACTGTTCAGAGAGGTGTACTGTTTTCCCTCCTTGTAAATCTCACATTTGATGATGGACCACAGGTTCTCAATGGGGTTCAGATCAGGTGAACAAGGAGGCCATGTCATTAGATTTTCTTCTTTTATACCCTTTCTTGCCAGCCACGCTGTGGAGTACTTGGACGCGTGTGATGGAGCATTGTCCTGCATGAAAATCATGTTTTTCTTGAAGGATGCAGACTTCTTCCTGTACCACTGCTTGAAGAAGGTGTCTTCCAGGAACTGGCAGTAGGACTGGGAGTTGAGCTTGACTCCATCCTCAACCCGAAAAGGCCCCACAAGCTCATCTTTGATGATACCAGCCCAAACCAGTACTCCACCTCCACCTTGCTGGCGTCTGAGTCGGACTGGAGCTCTCTGCCCTTTACCAATCCAGCCACGGGCCCATCCATCTGGCCCATCAAGACTCACTCTCATTTCATCAGTCCATAAAACCTTAGAAAAATCAGTCTTGAGATATTTCTTGGCCCAGTCTTGACGTTTCAGCTTGTGTGTCTTGTTCAGTGGTGGTCGTCTTTCAGCCTTTCTTACCTTGGCCATGTCTCTGAGTATTGCACACCTTGTGCTTTTGGGCACTCCAGTGATGTTGCAGCTCTGAAATATGGCCAAACTGGTGGCAAGTGGCATCGTGGCAGCTGCACGCTTGACTTTTCTCAGTTCATGGGCAGTTATTTTGCGCCTTGGTTTTTCCACACGCTTCTTGCGACCCTGTTGACTATTTTGAATGAAACGCTTGATTGTTCGATGATCACGCTTCAGAAGCTTTGCAATTTTAAGAGTGCTGCATCCCTCTGCAAGATATCTCACTATTTTTGACTTTTCTGAGCCTGTCAAGTCCTTCTTTTGACCCATTTTGCCAAAGGAAAGGAAGTTGCCTAATAATTATACACACCTGATATAGGGTGTTGATGTCATTAGACCACACCCCTTCTCTTTACAGAGATGCACATCACCTAATATGCTTAATTGGTAGTAGGCTTTCGAGCCTATACAGCTTGGAGTAAGACAACATGCATAAAGAGGATGATGTGGTCAAAATACTCATTTGCCTAATAATTCTGCACTCCCTGTACTTTTCAGAGGTCTGATATTGTTCTATGTACACTCCTTGTTTTATTGATTGCATGTAATATTCTAATTTACCGAGATTTTGGATATTGGGTTTTCATGAGCTGTAAGCCATAATCATCGCATTTATGACAAATCACAGTTTGAACTATCTTGCTTTGCATGTAATGCGTCTATCTCATATATTGGTTTCCCCTTTTATGTTGCATTACTGAAATAAATGAACTTTTGCATGATATTCTAATTTTTTGAGTATCACCTGTATAAACAACCAGTAAACTTTGCACTCTAGGACTGTAAAATTAATCTGTGTCATGTGCTTAATTGAGCTAAAAGTGTACAGCAATGCTGAAAGGATAGCACTTTTATATGATTATATAAACTTTTGTAGTCTTGAAAAATTCTGTTGTCTATGAAGAATATGCTCGTCTGCCTTTCTGTCATGCTCAGTAATGTCTCCAAGTTAATTCAGCCTTTGTGTCTTCTGAAATGCCAAGAAGCAAAAAAACAGGGTTCGCTTTAACCAGTCCCTGATGCAGGTACCACATAATGAAAAGGACATGGATTGCAAAGATTTAAGAAATATAATCCATTTGCTATAGTAAGCATTTTTTGTTTTGTTTAATAAATTGTCAGTCCTAACAATATAATATATTTCTCGTTAGAATGATATCCGAACCTATATTTTTCCAAAGGGGCATTTTATAAAAATATTTTTAAACATTTTAAAAAATAGTTAGTTTTATTGAATATATGTTTATATTCCATAAAACGCACTCACCACTAGAGTAGTTATAACTAATGTATCTTAATTATAAACATGAAATGCATGTCTGTGCTGATATATCTGTAAAAAGAAGAACTAGTCAACAAGTACCTCTTCTGCTGTTGTAAAACTATGTTTCCCATGATCCATGATCAATAGCCACGGTTATAAGAATGGCTGCCTAACCATCACAGTTTGTATATCAATTGGCTACCTTCCCATCATGAAGTGTATACCAGCTGAGTCTATGATGGCTGTTCAGACATTGGTTATTTGATCGTCCATATACTGGGAAGACGTATAAGTAGAGATTTTTCAAGGAATACTAGGTACTATTCTGGGCAAAGACCATGGAAACCAATAGTCTGTCTCTCAACCTAACAACTGTTCTGATTTGATAAATTGATCTCTTAATATAAATTTTAGTTGTGTTAATACATCAACTGACATATATGCAAGCAGCTGCAGACTGAGTTTATAATTCTTAGGAATATTCACATAAGTTAGCCAGTCTAAGTAAAAGGGGTGATGGAACAGAATATACCGTATATTCTCAAGTATAAGTCGACCTGAATATAAGTCGAGACCCCTAATTTTACCCCCCAAAAATGGGAAAACGTATTGACTCGAGTATAAGACTAGGGTGGGAAATGCAGCAACTACTGGTGTGTGTGTTTATGAATGCGGTGTGTGTGTTTATGGTGTGTGTGTGTATGAATGCAGTGTGTGTGTGTATGAGTGCAGTGTGTGTGTGTATGAGTGCAGTGTGTGTGCATGAGTGCAGTGTGTGTGTGTGTGTAGGAGTGCAGTGTGTGTGTGTATGAGTGCAGTGTGTTTGTGTACGTGATGCAGAGTCTTGGTGGGGGGTGGGCATTTTTATAATTTTTTTAAAATAATTATTATTATTTTAATATTATTTTTTTTTGTTATATTATTAATATTTAATTTTAATTTTATTATTATTTAGATTTTCTTCGTCGCAACCTCCCTGCTTGATACATGGCAGGGAGGGGGGCTCTCACTCCCTGGTAGTCCAGTGGATGGGCCGTGTAGGAGTGGGGCTGGCAGAGAGCTGTTATTTACCTTTCCTGCAATTCATGTCAGCTCCCTTCTCTCTCCTCTGGTCCGGTCAGCTCCCTTCTCCTCCACTGTAAGTTTCGTGGTCTGAGTGCCGCGTGCAGCGTTGCCACGGTAACCCGTGGCAACGCTCTGAACCCGCGGCTTTCGCGAGACTTACAGTGGAGCTGACAGGGGAGCTGACCGGACTGGAGTAGAGAGAAGGGAGCTGACAGGAGCTGCAGGAAAGGTAAGTAACAGCTCTCTGCCAGCCCCCAACAGGACCGCCGGGGTTGTAATGAGCCCGGCGGTCCTGGTCTGTATTATGGCAATGTAAGTTGCCATAAAACAGACAGTGACTCGAGTATAAGATGAGTGGGGGTTTTTCAGCACAAAAAATATGCTGAAAAAGGCTTCATACTCGAGTATATACGGTATTAAAATATATTTATGATGAATTTTATTTATTGTTTTTTTTTTTTCTTCTCTAGATCAAAATTAGGTCATTTCTGTCACGCTACCTGTTGTTCTCGGAGGTATTCATAGCATTTGTAATTGGATTTTTTTTCTATTTGATTATTGATATTTCAAATTTTCAGTTTGGCCAAATCTGAAAAGGGACTCTGAGAATATCCAGTTCTAGGCATATATTTACAAAGTATGAGGTTGCTATATTTTGCTATATTTTTAGATAACAATTTTCATATTTGAAGCATTTAGAAATATTCATTATTGTTGTGCAACTTCTTTATTAAGGACTTTTGATACATGTTGTATTGAGAATAATGTGATTGTAGAAAAATATGGTAATAAAGAAATAAATAATATGCTTTATTTAGTAATGGAGTTTGTTTATTTAGAAACTGTATCTATAATTAAATGAATGCTAAAACCATATATATGTTTAAGAATATGTGCAACATTTGTATTTTTCTGTAGTTTTTTAGAATAAAATTATAATATGCTGTGAATTTATTATCACTATTCTACCAATCATTCGCAATAAATCAGACTGTAATCTGTACATAAAGTAGTCCTGGTTATCCACTATTGTCCATATTAAATTATTATTTTTTTGCTTTCTAGTGGACATCTCAAATGTGTCACTTTGAGAACATGAATGAGTATGGTACTGTGATAGCATGCTACCTTTGCTATAACTCAGTTTGTGATATTTCATCCCTGCTAGATATTCACGGCCAACTGTAAGTGGTATTACTGGAAAGTGAAAGCGTTTAGGAACAGCAGCAACTCAGCCATGAAGTGGAATACCACGTAAAGTCACAGAGCCGGTGAGCAAGTACTGAGGCGCATGGTGCGTAAAAGCTGCCAATGCTCCGCTGATTCCATAGCTGAAGAGTTCCAAACGTCCACTGGCATTAATATCAGCACAAAAACTGTGCTTCTTGTAATGGGTTTACATGGCTGAGCAAAAGCATGCAAGGCTCACGTCACAATGCTAAGCATTGGACTGTGTTGAGGCTAAAAAGAAACTGTACGAGTAAAGAAACTTGTGAGACCCAAATACACAAGCTAATGGATCAATTCACAGCTAAACATTATCCAAAGACTCTACTGGATAAGGCCTACAAGGAGATAGAGAATGTAGATAGGAAAGATCTTTTTGAAAATTCCAACAGGAGGATGAGGGATAAAGGAAATGAAAATGATAATAAGAATAAGAATGATGAAGTTTCTTAGATTTTTTACTATTCAGGGAAAAATAGAGAATTAAAGAATATTATTAACAAGTACTGGTTTATTCTAAAGGAAGACCCTCTGCTAGAACAGATAGTTCCAAAAAAAAACAACGATCATTTACAGAGGGACATCAAGTATTAACAACCATCTAGTTAAAAGCAGCCTCAAACAGGAAAATCCATGTAAGAACTTTCTTAATCAAGATGTAGGTTTTTTCCAATGTGGGTACTGCTTGGCCTGTAGAACCACAGGAGCTCCCAAATGTGTTAAAAAAGAGTTAATTGGAGGAAATACACAACAAGTATATTGTGTTAAACAACTTATAACCTGCCATACTACCAATTGTGTTTATGTCCTTACATGCCCATGCAACATGCACTATGTGGGTAAAACCACTAGACAAGTGCATGTTCGCATTGCAGAGCATGTACGGAATATTAAAAGGGGCTTTAAGGAACACCCTCTATCCCCACATAAACATCAGGGAGATGTTACTAAACTGCAGTTCATTGGGATAGAAAGAGTAAGCAGAAATTGGAGGGGTGAAAACTTGGATAATAAATTAGCAAAGCAAGAGATGAGGTGGGTGTTTAAATTAAAATCATTGTCCCCTAGGGGTTTAAATTGAGAATTTGAAGTTTGCCATTTTCTATAAATATCTTTCTGTAATTATGTGTTTTTTCCTTCGTTCTTCCCTTAGTAGGGACTCCAATCGATAGATATATGATTGTTGTTTGATGTGATTATATATTGATGTTTTCACTTTATGAGAACATATGAATGTATACGAAAGTGTTCCTCACCAATGTCTATAGATTTGAACTAAAACATCTTATTTATGAAGATGATTTATATTGTTATAATCTAAAATTTAAAATTTATAATAAGATGTCTAACTTTATGTATATATTGCTGGAGGTGCCTCTGAAAAATACTGTTAAACCATTATTATTATTTTTATTAGGAAAATGTCATTGCCACATATTATTTTTTGGATTTTGTAAGTTTATAATTTTACATTTTATATTCTATAATTTTCTCTATATCTATTTTTTATTGTTTATGTGCCTCGTTGAAGTGAAATGATGAGATCTTACTGGCCCTGTATGGGTTAACATACATAATAAAATAGAAAGAAGTATTCCTTTAAGAGGTATGAGATTGGAGGTAAATATCCCTTTAAAGATGAGATCTGAATGCTTCTTAAACAACTGCATTCAGATATGGTGAACTTTACTGAATTCTATGTATGGAGCAATGATATTTTTCTACTTATTTATGACAGTTCTCTATTGTATATGTTTTGTGTATATGTATGAATACCACTAGACCCAATGATATGTAGATACTAATATTTAGTTCTGTTTTTGTTCATTCTTATACTGTGTGTAATAATGAGATCAGTTTTTGAGCTGATATAAGGAGTTCAGCATGTTTTGGTATTTTTAAGCTTGTACATATGTAATTAATTGGCTAGTCAAATATGATCGTGATAACTACGCCCCTCGACCAATGGAACGACAAAGGGGGAGGAGATATGCACTTAAAAAGAGGGCTAGAACTTCATGACATCATCGGAGGAAGCCTGTGAAGGCGGGCGAAACGCGTCACACGTACGTCATCAGAGGGGTGGACCCGGAAGCGGATCACATGATCTGAACGAAACCAGGAAGTGATTTGCACTCTTGACTACTTTACATGCTTTTATGTGGGTGACTCTGCGAGTCTATACCCACCACATCCCAAGTAAGGGTTTTTAACTTTTGTTATTAAATAAATTGTCTGAGATATTATTTAATTGGAGGTTCTGCCCTTCTCTCTACACACAGTATAATTGAACTACCAGTGGATACACCTTTTGGAACGATCTTCAGTGTGGGGATATCCCCTCTTCAAAGGAAGCCTTGCAAACCCAGAGCCAGGGGTGATAGGGCTCTGGGATTTGTGAGTTCTTTCCCTTAGATTTCTTCTTTTTTTCATCTATGTTTATTCAGATTGTCTGCACTATTATTAGTTTTTTATATTTACAGATTAGTTTGGCGTGCTTTTTTTGGTAATTATTGTTTCTCTTTACACACTTTTGTGTGCATTGTTGGTTTAAGCGCTGCCATACTATCTGCACTATATCTCACAGCGCTTACACATTGGTTCTTTTTGTGTATTTATCCACAATCCAACTGGACTCAGGAGCAATGGAAACGTGTTTTGTGGAGTGATGAATCATGCTCCTCTCTTTGGCAGTCTGATGGACGAGTGTGGAGACCAGTCACTGAGCTTCTTCGCCAGAACTCCATAAAATATGCCTCTGGTCATCCGTTGCTGGCCTTCAAGGATGGACACACCCAAGCTACATCCGGATGGTGATCTTGCGGCCTACCTGAGGGAGCTGAGCATTCAGGCTCCGACGGACCTGGCGATACCTGGCACCTCGACAGAAGAGTTGCACCCCCGCCCATGAGACTGGTACATGGTGGGTGAGTGATGCCCAATGATGCAAGGGCCTTTGAGGTAGCTGCCTAGCGGCAAGGGGGTTCACCGGGCCGTCTGTTGGGTGGCGGGCCTAATGGGTTTACCTAATGGGGCTTTTACACCGCTCGCTACCCCTGAGTGGTCTTTTGGGTTGGTGTACCCGCAAAGGTCAACAGTTGGGGTGGGTTCTTTGCAAATCTGCATTGGGCGGGATAGGTCAGTGACACCCCCTGAAAATGTTTTCTTGGGACGGTGAGGTTTCCCCCTCGGGCCGTGATAGCTGGGTGGTAGGGCTGGAGTTGCAATGGGATAGTGGGAGGAGGGTCATGGGGTCATTTTGCCACATAGGCCGGTGGGGATTAGGGTTATTTCTGTTTGATTTTTGTCTTGGTATTTTTTAGGGTTAGATGTATAACATGCCTTAACTATAGAGGGATGGGTGGCATGTTTTTTGGAGGTAGACTTCTCTTTCATTCTGGACCATCCTGGAGCTCGCGTAGGGTAGAACCATGCCATTGCCACCTCCCAGATGGGGGATCCAGCCTTCCCCCCACAGAATGTCTGTGTTTACACTAACTCCCGCACTGACGTTGCTGAGCAGTTTCAACACCGGGGCCCTTAGCTCCCTAGCCCCACAATGCTGAGTATGTCCCCGGGTCTGTCAGGGTCCAGTTCTCCCTCCTGTCCGCTCCTTCCCCCCGCCCATCCTCATGTTGGGGGGGCTCGGTCGCAGGGTCTCGCCATTCTAAGTTATGGTGTCCCAGGGGCTAGCTTTGTCCTACCCCATGTACAAGCGTGTAGCCCCCTGTTGGAGTCTCTATTCCCCAGGAACCCTCCCCCTTCTTATTTTATTCCATCTTAAAGTTGCTTTTCATGGGTGGCGAGGGGGGAGGAGGGCTTGTCGAGGCCTTGCACTGGTGCTAACTATTAGGGGGTGGGATATGAGCCTACTAGCTATTGCAAATTTGGCCTTCTGTGTATGACGGCTTTATGCCTGCCCGGTTTTGGCGTGTGTGGGCGCTGGCGCCGCCGCCTGGTGCCTGGGCCTCCTGGGTGAGGGGGCATGGGGTTGCATTATATGCAGGAGGGCTGGTAGATTGGCCTGTTGTGTGGGCATATTCTTGCCATGACCAAATTTATACAGGGTTGATGTCCGTGTATTATTTCATTTTTCTGTTGGCACTATAGTGGTGCCTAAAAGTGTTGGCTTATGTCCCCTCGGCTCCAAGATGCTCATGGCGTTTGGGAACGGATGGGACATTTACCCCAATCATGCCTTGCTATGGGTAAGATAAATATAAATAT